TAGCACGTTTTGGTGATTTTTAACTTAACAATTTTTTTTTTCTTTTTTGCATGTGTAGCCTAAAGGCTTAAATCTGTTAAACGGTTGTATTGTTGAAAACTTTTTATGAGAAAAAAAATCCAGAAAAAAAAAAGTAAACTCTTTACATTACAGCATGTCGCCTTGAAATAAAAAGTTATCTGTATCTGGTTTTTATACAGGTTTGTTGAAATTTTGCTATATTTCTTATCTTTACACTGTAAAGCATTTTGAAATATTTATTGAGAGTCGATAGCCAAAATGTCTTTGGTTTAATCTGCTAAGAACTGAGAGATTTTTCAAAATGGCAGATGCATGAACTGTATTTTGCATGTTTAAAATAAAAACAACACAGTTTTGCAGTTGTCTTTATTTCTCTCTCTGACACAAGGCTGCCTGCTTTCAACTTCCATATTCCAAGGACAGGGTAATAAAGTGTTTCAAGGGATACCTGACCTGAAGCATGGGCATTTCTGATCTTAGAAGCTTATATCACAGACACCCAAACATGCCCGCTCAGCCTGGGGCCTGAGTAGTAGTTTTTCAAAAGCCTGACATATCCAGCTGTTACGGAGGTTTTGACCACAGCAGTAAACAGGCTTGGAGGGCATGATCCATCAGTATTGCATGTCTTAGAATTTGCCTACTTGATCCAAACTATCTGGCTGGCTTTTGAATGTTGTATTCTGGCTACCCAACTTTATAATGTCTTACGTTCAGGAATTCTTATTTTGTTTCATTTGGATTTTTTAATCTCACACCCAGTATTAAACTTTGTGTGATGTGTTTTCCAAAAGAAATTCTGCACAGCCTGGTTTTGGACAACCAGTGATTTGTAACTTCATCCTCACACAGAACACTTGTGTTTGACAGAAAAATTGGTTTTGCACCAAAAGAATATTCAAACCACTTTTTTTTTTTTTTTTTTAAAAAAAAAAGAGAACATACAAGAACAGATTGGCAGTGGATTGATCTTTCCATTGAAATATTTCTATATATAAATGAAGAAATTACGTAAGTGTTATTTTTAGTGTGTGAATTTTGTCTTTTTCTTTTGCTGAAAAGCAGTAGTGAAGAATGTGACTTGTTAAAAGCTAAGGATAAAATTTGACAAAAAATAATTTGTGTGGGAGTGTCCAAAGGGTATGGCTTTGGACAAGTTATGCTCCTACTGAACTGAAAACATTCTGTTGCTAGTCACAAAAGAAGCTGTTCTGGGCCAGTGCTGAATATTTTGGAAAACCTCCCCTGTGAGCAAGGGATTTTGTTTTAGAAATACATATTTTTAAATGAGTTTGCAGGTAATGTAGAACTCTAGCTCCCTGATTCTCCTTCAGAAGTAACTTCCATGGGATCAGCTTTGACTGAAGAGTTCGTACTATAAAATGAAGGCAGTGGGATAGCCAAGATACACGGGGCTGTCTCCCCAGCACAGTCTGTTCTGCTCCATCTATATCCTGCAGTGTAATCACACATGCTTGCTAGTAAAGATTCCTTCAGCTGACCAGATATTGAACAGCAGCCAGTATTTCTTAGTCATGGGTATAAGTTGTCTGGAGACGTCCCGACTGATAGATCTCAAATCCTCACTTCCACGTAATGGCTGGCACTTTTTATGAGAGCTTTCCCTCCCTCTGTGGATGTATTTCATCTGGAAGCTACTGCAATCTTCTTTTATATCTCATATACCACTCTGGCAACAAACCTTAATTCTAGTCTACAACACCTTCTTATTCCCATTCCCCCTTTCTTTTCTTTCCTTCCCTATTCTCAGAAGGACCATTTTTGAGCCATTAAAGTACATGACTGACAATTTAATGACTGTGTTCTTTGCTCCTCCAGTATATTACTTTGTAATCTTGTCCAAGTTGTTTATCTATTCTGCACCTCAGATTCCTCATCTGTAAAATGAAGGTCACTGCCAGGTATTCATAAATACCTCACAATAATACTGGGGGACTTCAATATTTAAAAAGTGATTTGAGATCCTCAGAGGTATGATGGTGCTCTCACCATGGAAAGACTATTACTTTAGCCTGGGATGTGCATTTAGGGATGTAATGTACAGCCACAGAAGGGTTAAGCCTCTTCTTTATTATTTGCCAGACCGAATGAAAGTAAACGAAAGCTTTCAGCAAGGAAATATCAGGTGGGGGTTGGTCTCTTCTCCCAGGCAACCAACAATAGGACAAGGGGACATGGGCTCAAGCTCTGCCAGGGGAGGTTTAGGTTAGATGTTAGGAAGAAATTCTTTACAGAGAGGGTAATCAAGCATTGGAACAGCCTACCCAGAGAGGTGGTGGATTCACCATCCCTGGAGGTTTTTAAGCAGAGATTGGATGTGGCCCTTAGTGCCATGCTATAGTAATTGGAGTTGGATCAGGGGTTGGACTTGATGATCTTGGAGGTCTTTTCCAACCCAATCTATTCTATGATTCTATGATTCTATGAATCGGATAAAAATTTTTCTTCTGGTACATATGATCTTTGACTAAACTGATTTTTAAAGTGTTTATGGTTACACAGAATTGGGCGGTTACAGCTCTTCATTAGCAGAGGTGTTACAAGGTGCTTCTATAATGTAGCATCACATAAAATGCAGAGATAACAGGTTATTGTATGCTGAGCTCTATAAACCATCAGTCATTTTCATGCATGTAGTTGGTGTCTCTAAGTGCCTCAAGGGAATCCCAGTTGCTGCCGACCTTTCTGTTTACTTCACACAATCCTGATTATAAGTGTTGTCTACTTAGAAACAAATCATTATCGGTGGTTAATACAGGTCAGCAATTCTGTAGCAGCCCTCCAGGTATTTGGAGAGACACCTCCACAATATTTAAAAATCAATTGGAAATCTCCTTCAATCTATACAGATCTCAGCATGTCAAACAGTCACATAATAGTGTGGTGAGTTGGTGTAGGATGCACAGAAGACAAAACCAGCCATATGGTAAAGGCTTTCTAATGAGGCTTTAAATATTATTTTCATTGCTCCAAGCTACTCTGTGCAATAAAATAGTATGGACTTTTTGCAGGGTAATATCATTAAGTATGTGAATATATCTCTGCAACAGCATATTTTTCTCCTGTTTTATCTACTTAGGGTTTTGGCAAGGCCATTCTGCCTTTAGGCTGAACTGCCATCAGTTTCTCCTGCAGATTTTTTAGTGCAAATTTAAACTTCTATTGCCTTTTGGTGGATCATTTTAAATTCTGAAAACTCCTTTAAAATAAATTATATCTTATCCTTTTGAGATAATTGATGATCTAAAATATCTTCTCTGCCAACTGTAATCCTGCCCTCCTTTTTTGCTGTCTCTCAAACCCAATTCAAAATCCAGAAGTCCCAGAAAACCCAAAGATATTCATAAACTCTATTATCTCAAAATACATTAACATCTATTATTCTTGAGCTAGATACTGCATTGAGTTGTATTTTTGGTTTTTAGGGGAAACTAAGTCTAAAACAATTTTTAAAAAGCACTAATACACTGCCAAACGCTTCTTACCCTAAGGAAAAATCTATCCTTTGGAGTTCTTACCATGATAAGCAATACAGTGTTCTATTGCAATTGAGGAAAGAGTCTGCAGGTATGGAGGAAAAACAAAACTATAATAATAGTACCGTTTTAAACATCTTTAAACAGTCTCCAAATATCAAAAGTACATAACTGGTGACAACTAAAAGGTTTGATCCGTTAGAGACCTGCAGCGGGCAGTGGAGAACAGTGGTCTAAGCCAAGTCTTGCTGCAGGTTGCAGAGGTGATATTCCAACAACACACAGGTGGAAGGCTCCAGTTCTGTGCAGATTTGTGTGACAAAAGCCCTGCAGCTCTGCAATACTCAAGTGCATCCCTCGGTTTTACCCACACAACAAAGATTGTGACAGAACAGCGTGTGGTTTAAGTGAGCTTCATTATTGTATTGCACTAAGTTCTTTGCTGGTGAGTTAAACAGAGCTACCTCCTTCAGTCTGGCTCTCTGGTTGCTCAAACAGGTCATGGCTAACTCCCAGGAAGAACTCAGCTTGTTATTGAGATTGATGTTCCTCACCTGGGATTGTGGGCCTTTCAGTCACAACTCCTATGTAAATATAAACCTATGTCCAGGCTTTCTGGCATGAAGGAGTTATGAGACAAAACTTTTACTCCCTTTACTCCTAAGGAGCATGGACATTTCAGTCACAAAGCATTGGTACATTTACATTCACTTTTTTTTTTTTTTTTTTTTTTTTTTTTTTTTTTTTTTTTTTTTTTTTTTTTTTTTTTTTTTTTTTTTTTTTTTTTTTTTTTTTTTTTTTTAACAGGAAGGATAAAGTGGAGGATTCCTAGGATAGGTTGGGTTTTTTTCTTTATTAATGGGAAGTGCCATTTTGCCACAAGGAATACAGAGTTTATATCACCATTCATCCTTCACTCATAGGTCTTACTTGTATGTGCAGTCCTGGGCTGAGGAGTTGAACTATACCAGAGGCAATTTCAGCAATTAGAGCTATATGAGTGATAATAGTCAGCCCAGCTGCATGTTTTCTTGCAGCATTCACTGCAAACCACCAATGGGCTGCATGCCCATCCCCTCTTTTCTCTTTTCTCCAATTCCCTTTCAGAGTTGGGGAGATCCTCCAAAGTGATCAGGTAAAACCTAGATGACCTCTCTCCAGGGAAGGCTGCCAGTCCAAAAGTGTTTCCATTTCCTCATTCTTGCCATTTTGAGGACTACCCAAGGCAGCAGACTGTTGGGGAAGGTTATTTTGTAATGTTTCTTTCTCTTCTTTCCTTCCAAAAAAAGTGCTAGTCATTTCAACTGCTTTGCAGAAGGCCTTTCACTGCTACGTTCAGGAGACACTTGAATTCTTGTCCCACTGATTAGAGCGGGCAGTTTGCCATCTGATTTGCAGTCATTCAGAGTTGCAGTCATCTTGCTACACTGAAAATCCCCCCTACACACACAAAGTTCATGCCTCTTTAGCACCATGAAAAGCTGCATGCACCAAAAAAAAAAAAAAAAAATAAAAAAAAATTATTTTACATCACAGAAAGAAGAAAAGAAGTACAGCATTAAAACTTATTTCTCCAAACTGTATATTTGCTGATGTATTGCTTTCCAACTTTCTGGAAATCCTGTGTCCCCTCAGCTGTGCAGCATGCTACATGAGAAAAGCATCATACTGTGGCAACAAGGCTAGCTTCAGGTGAGGGCAGCCCTCTTGTCTGGCTGGGAACATCCATCCCGGCTTGGCAAATCACTTAATCTTGCTGTGTGCCTTGGTTCCACGTCTTTAAAATGGAAGCAAATAGCATTTTGCTACTTCCTGGGGACTTTGGTAGGGTGAGCACTGTTGTAGGTTGTCACGGTGCTTAGAAATTGGGAGTTAACACTTTTATCATT